ACGGGGGGGGGGGATTTGTGCTTACAGATTTCTGTTTGTGTCCTTTCATGAAATGAGACAAACTCCCCCCTATGTTCTATAGCAACTGCATTTAGAAACAAAGGAAAGGGACTAACAGAAGTTTTAACACACAGTATGGGGGAATTTTTGAAAGGACTCTATAAAGAAAAACAATTAAGTTCCCCAGTGACGGACGATTTTGTGACAAAAGACATCTCGGTCACTGAAAGCTTTCTTTGCGTTGTTACTTCTTTCTGCAGTGTGGCAACTGTCAATGCTTTACTCAGTATTTAAAGAATGATGGTATAATGTTAGGGTCAGTGCAGCAACATTAATGTTTCCATACTTCTGTTGTGAAAATATTTGCTTTCACTCCAGGCCTGATGGCATTTCAGTTTCTGAATTTACTGGTGAAGGAGGTTCTCTCAGCAGTTGTATCAGACAGTGTGCCAAATCTATTCACTCCTGCTTGTCATGTCTGTTGTAATCTCATGCTTTAAAGCTTGATTAACCTCCTGTCATCTTCAAACGAGCAGCGTGTGCAAGAGAGACTCTCTCAGAGTCGCAGAAGAGTCTTCGCTTACGTCGAAGAAGTTCATTTAAGCCCGGCATGTCGTTTTTTGTCGTCCTTTGGGCTAAACTATACTCCAGCAGAGTACCTCAAGTATCAGGCTGAACACAATTCTAGGCGCTGCCAGTCACAATTACACCCAATTCCAGAAGCATTTCCTATTTTCTTGTCTCCACTTTGTGTAAGATGGAAAACCTAACCCGGGAGGCCATACTCATGTGTTATGCAATTACACCAGCCAGTCCTAATTCAACACACAGAAGCTGGATGGATTGATGGAGACCAGAGAAGCCACATTTCTGTTGTTGGTTCAGTCTCATTTCAGGAAGATAAAATACAGTTTGTGTCGTTAAATCCGGTTGATTTAACCCTGTACATTACTCTTTTATTTTTTTTGCAGACAGTGTTCTTTATGTTTAAGTTGATAACGATAAAAAGAACAATGTGAGTTAGCCTACTCCTTTTCTGTCTCCTATTCCCTTTCTTGCAGGAGATTGGTGGGTAGAGAGCAGGAGCGTCTTATACATCCTGGCTCATCGATTTTCGGTCAGGGATGAAAGCCACAGACTCAGTAGGTCTTTCATACTGGGGGGCATCCCAAAAGACACATCAATCAGATTTCAAACAGAACCAAGCCAATCTTATTTTTTTACTGCCTTTTCAACGTCATTACAATCTCAAACCAGGGCCTCTCTCCTTTATATCTCTGCTTCACCTTCACAGGTCAGTCAATCAAAAGTTCCCTCCTGTGTTCTATATAGTAAGCCTCTTAAGGACTTATTTGACATTGAACAGGGAGGGATCATCTCATGCCCATTAAAAAAATACAGATGCAGTGATAGAATACTTGTCAGGGTTACAGAATTTCAGCCCAACTGTCTAATCCCCCGAAGCCTGGCAGTTAATTCAGCTGGTCAGGCCAGAGAGTAGGCCCCCTGTAAGTTTAATGAAGATTAAATTACCTATTTTCTCTCATGAAATTTTTAAAGAACAAAGGGGATGAACTTGCAAAGAGGCAAATGAAAAGACCAAAGGGAAGTGTCTGTAAGGAGATAAAGAATTTCCCCTTGTTCCCCCAACCTCATTTGTGACATAAATGATCTTTTAATACTTATACATATTACTCCTATATTTGTTATCCACATCACCCCGATATATACAGACGATGTTCAGCCTGGCAGCTATTTTCTTATCTTTCCCATGATCTGGGGGAAAATCACTGTTTTGTGTCTTCAATAACATCACAGGAAGTGATAGTGATCGTAATTCCCTTAGCAATTAATTTGCTCACACATATGTTGTACCCATCGCTTTATCTCTCTCTTCTTGTCTCTCAACCTACAGCAGTTGTTCTCCTGTACTGTTTCACACACACACACACACGTGCAAGCTTGTGTCACTTATCA